GCACCTCAGCCACCCCTTCGGGGATCAAAGGCGTGATGTTATGTTATGTCCGTCTGGTAGATTATTTAACGTATTTTTTATTTTATTACATAAACACTACTTTCGACGAAATATTGATTTGACGGACCAATTATATTTTTAATTTTCATAGCTAGTCTTCATCCCGATTATGCAATTAATAAATAAACATGTGGGGAACTACATCACCCGCGCGTGTAACAAGTATTACAGTATAATGAGTGCTTTCAAGAAAGGGTAACAAGACGTAAACAAACATTTCGCTGACAAAAAAATGTTTGTTGGGGTCCTAACGTGGCACAGCACGAGCCAAGTGGAGACATTGTGCAAATGTGACGTCCCGAGCCCCGCGCCACTGCGTCAGGTATTGTGCGCGGCGTTATTGAGCTATCTGACAGGCGGGGCTCGGCTAATTGTCTGAGCGACCGAGACCGGCATATATCTGGATGTGAGTGCGACAAGGACGCAGCACAACCCTATTAATCCCCCTATAAATAACCCGGCTTCTAATGTCGAGGCGCCACGCTTTTTATATGGACTGCGACCGAACTGACTTGATACTTACGTCCAGTATTGGCTCCACTCAGTGGCCGATAACGCAACGATAAGTGGATTAAACAATGAATGCCAGTGAGTAGTCCGCCCGACTGTACGACTGTACGACTGTACGACTGTACGGCTGTACGACTGTACGACTGTACGACTGTACGACTGTACGGCCACTAAGGTACTACTTTAATGGAACTTTATACATGTGTTGCGTCCCAAGTGAACAAGTAAGCTAGTTTTCTACAGTTTTTTATGACTACGTGCCATATTTACTGGAGAGTGCCATAGCAATTATACCACGCTCTGAAGCCGGTCCACCGAGTACCTACTCAACAACCTCGGAATTGACTTGCATATACTACATACATATAGTACACATACGATACATCGACGTAGATATTGGTTTAGTGTAACAGCCGCTAGACAGCACTCGGTGTCCACAATGGCGGCGACTAATTTGCCAATATTTCATTTAGTTGATAGCAGTCATTTGTCAACAGATCAAGACGGATGGCGGAGGGTGGCCACTAAGTGCGAAATGTTCCCAGCCGCTCCACAGTTTTTTGTTTGGTTACGGTGAGCCTAATCCGATGACGACTGCTGACAAAAAACCCGGCTAATGGTTCGCGCTGATGTATCAATGACAGTGGCGACCCCGTCCCGCCCCGCCCCGCCCCGCCCCGCCCGGCGCACCGGGTGTGCGTGCCAACAAACAAACAAACATATCATGATACTCCGGTGACGTGGGGAATGGACTCGAGTGGCCGCGGCTTTGTGTTACTTACTGCACTATTCGGATCTATGTATAGTGTCTACTTATAGTTACTTATATTTAGCGCGGTCCGTTATTAATTCCTTATACTTTTTTATACACGTAACTCCGTTTATGATGTTTGATTATTTACTTAACAATTTACATATTATTATACTTACAAACATCAGTCCTTCTAGAATCTATTCAATGATATAAATTTAGGGGAGAGCAGCTCCCTGAAAATGATGGTGCAATCAAAGTCAAATCAAAATCATCTATTTTAGTTAGACCAGGGTGCTTACTCTTGAAACCAATCTCAATGTCAATGCAATTTCAATCCAATAAAATCTCAATAAGTATGCAATGTCAAAACTATACAACCCCAATCGTAGCTGCTAAAGTAGCATTTAGAGTACGGAATATAAAACCAAACTTAATACCATTTAGTTCATTAAATACCCACGCAATACAAACGCAAAAGGCGCTAGTGTTACAACTCAAGAGTACGAAATTTCACAATGTCAATGTCGATCGATCGGTATTGGATTCAAGAGTAAGCACCCAGAACGGGCCTTTGAATGTCAACAAAAAAAAAATTCAAGTAAAGGTATTTGCTCTTTCCAAGGTAAGATCTTACACCTACACAGTCGTCGCGGAGAACCTAACGGGTAACCGGGGCTCCGGCTCGACGTGCAGGAGAAGGAACGGGGTGGTTTTTAGTCAGTAAGAGTCTGACACTCCCTCCCGCCTCACCCAGGCGGGAGCAGTCATTGGATGATTTTACCCTCTTAAAAAAAACACCTACACAGTCAGCAACGCACTTGTAATGCTTTAAGGGTTGCAGGAGGTGTGCGTGAGTTGCGGTAACTGATAACAATCAGGCGACAGGTACGCTTTGCTGCTGTCGATACTAGTAAACTAAACTATATCTACTTTGACTTTGACTATAGTGAAACGATCACACTTTTTCAGTTTTTTAACTAAATCGCCTAAATTGCATTCCTGGACATTTTTTGCGAGTCTATTAGTGGCCGGAACTGAGCGACGTCATAAATTGGTGCAATGTCCGAATGTCCCAATGTTTTGCGTTTTTTCTAGCAGAGTTACCTGCGCCGGCGCCGGCGACACGTCACCGCGTGTTTATTGCCGTCTGATGTCTGTAAGTAGGTCAGAAGGGTTGCAGGTAGCAGTCTGGTGCTGGACGTAGCTGCCAGCTCAGTCCCAGCACAACCAGACCATACGCCACACTATTACTTGCCAATTTATCCAGACTTCCTCAATTCAGATCGACATACACGCGGACTAAACCTTTCCTAGTGCTCCGATTGTATAAATCTTGTTTTATATCACCTAAATATATCCATTGTAATATTTGAGTGTTGCTTTTTTTAAACGTCTGTGGCATAATTATATACAATAGTGTGTAAGCATGTAATATCGGCAGGCAGGGGCTAAAACTTCATAGTTTTATGTCCGCAGCGGGTACTTCGTACAACTGTAGGAATGTTGGTAATGCCTGTAACGTTAGGCGCATTGAGCGCCGTGCCGCGTCGGCTACTCCTTGCGCAGGCGCATATAATACAGCACTCGGTACTAACTTAACTGTGCGATTGACACTGTCTAAGTATGATTGCAGGAGACTATTTTAATTAAGTACTTATTCCTCTTGTCTTACTACAATAAATGTACAGTTAAAGTAATTAGACCATTGTATGCGATTACAATGTTTGGACGTATAGAGGAGTGTCTCGACGGCGAGGTGTCGTTGTGATGCTGATGTTGTAATTAATGCATTAAACTGTATAATCTTATATTCAGTTATTGCTGGCTTTCTGCGTATAACTTCAACTGGCTCAAATACGTTTGTATGTAAAGCAGAAAAAACTCCATTGCAACGTAAAAAAAATACCAAAACCACTTCGATATAAAGTAATTATCATATCAAAATATTTGTAACATTCAAACATTCTATCACTAATAATGAATGAGATAAACATGAAGCAAATTGCAAAAATACAATTAATATAAAATTACCTACTTCTTGTAAAAACAAATATTTTATCAAAGGTCTGACTGAGAAAGTGTCTAATATTATAATAGTAAATAAAAACTATGTTTATTTGTGCGACATTAAATATAACGGGATGAGTGCGCGTGCGCAATAGTCCAGTTATAATGTAAAGTGCGGGCATTGTTCTCGACTACTGAAAGTTTCAGTGTTCAATGGCACACAGTATCAGAGCTATCAGATAAGCGATGAGACAGCGGTAGGAATGCAGCGCCGGCGCCGCACGATGGGATGCGCCGGCGCCGCGTACGGTACACACTTCGCAAACGTCCTTTGTCTACTGTTAGTCACTGCTGTGTTATGTGGGGTGAGCAGTATTGCACAGTTACTAGTACTACTGAGCCTGATACCGCACCGATGTGTTACAGAAGTACAGGACACTGGAATATTATATTTATGCAGTGCAGTGTGGCACTTTAGTATATAGCATGCGGTGAAGAGTAAACTTTTACTAATTTTGGTTATGTTCCTTCTGATATTTGGCTGAATGTTTTACATTTGTTCATTGTCATTAAGTGGGTACCATTTGACCTTTGTGACGGATACCAAAAGAAAGCAAATTTTTCGGTGACCGCAACCTATTGTTCTTTAATTGTGTCTATAATGATAGTACTCAAAGAGTTGTCCCTTTGTACTCGTCGTCATATTTCATGGGGTTCTGTCTGGCTGATACTATTAACGTCTGTCATAAGCAGATGGCTATCTAAATTGCTTTTGATTTAAATATTCACTAGCTAAGTTAATACAAATATTGCATATTTTTTACTTTGCGGCAGAGGTCAACATGGAAATTACAAAGCTTTTTTTTTAATGAACTTTGTAGGTAAATGAGATTATTTAAGTTATTTTATTGTCAGATTCAGCCACAGCCACAATAGTTACACGGCTGCCTACCCCCGTGTGTGACGTGGTGACGTGGTGACGTGTATACATGGTACATACATACATACAGTGTGTACTGCGCCGAGCTATCAGCTATTAGCGTGTAACGGAGTGGAACACTTTTTGCGCGATCTGTTGCAATTACTCGCTGATTTATTGCTGCATACACACACGCACACACACAGACACACACATATTTATTATTACATCATTATAGACTATGAAAAAGTAACAATCGCAAGTTCACAACAATAATTATATCGGCGGTGTTTGTGGGCAGTAACAAAACGTATCAGTAACGATTGCGGTGTGTAGGTAGGCCTGTTTATTGAGTGACCGTCCTGTGTGGAACGTGCTCACTTTATATTGATGTCAGTCCCCGGTGGCGCGATGTGTAGTAATGTTAGCTCTAATCTAATGGTAAGCCGTCGGCAATGTACTTACTAGTATTATGTCTGCTTAAGAAACTATACGAGATAACTACGTGATATTTGCCTTCAATATATCCACACGAATAGTTGATGTATGGTCAAAACCATACTCAATCAAATATGTTATCATTATCACCCAGACTTCTTTCAGACAGAACGTCCGTGCTGTTGAGGTGTAGTGACATGATGCTGCACGATGATAAGGAGGCGAGATATAGTACTATTCGTACACTTGCAAGTTCCCTCTGAGAAACTACAAACAATAAGTATTCATAGAACGGTATAAGTTTGTACTTACGTAAAATGGGGTAATTCCTGCGTGTGCAACGTATAGCTGTAGTAGTGTGCTGCTTGGTGTCCGCTACGACTGGCTTACTGTATCACTGACACTGGCACGAGCTGATGAGGAGCACTGAGGATCACTGCGAACGACACCGCGCGGCACGTCGACGCGTGTACACTTGCCGGAGAGCGCGCGCCCACTGGCGGCGGGAGGCGGCGGCGGGCGCGCGCAGCCTCCGCCCCGGGGCGGGGCGGGGCGCGCCCAACACGCGAGGGAAATGCGCTTTTCCATAAATTGCAGCGCACATGATGAACGCGCACGTAACGCGTCACTCGTGGCGCGGGTGAGCGCGGGGGGCGGCGGGGCCCGGCGGGGGGCGCGGGCTGCAGTGGGCGGCCGCTATCGCGAGTAATGGGCGCCGCGCGGAGATTTATAGAGGGGTTAGTTTTCGGGCCCTAATGGAATTAGTACTGCGTTTTTGTTTATACTCACGGCGTCGCAATCAATCGTGCGAGTGTTCGTAGCCCCCCTCCCTCCCCTGCACCCCCCACCCGCACAACCCGCGCCAGCAGTTTGCTAATTAATCGCTAGTACTCGGTAGCAGTCGATCAGTGAATGTTAATTGAAGAGCGACGTTTACTGGTACTCTTACAACATAGTAACACGCTACGAAGCCACTCAAACTTCTACCGAGTATATTAAGGTTTTAGATAGGAAACCGCTGAATTGTGCTGTTCATTAAATATTACCTATAACAGGCTGTATCATACAGTCTGCTCATACGCGACTCGTATTCACAACCGAGTTTTATGGTTTAACATTTAAGACATTCCGCTGACAGTTCCAATTTAAGTCATTCTGTTAACTAGTTACCTACATAGGCGTAAGATTCTTCTGACTTTTCCATAATTACTAATAGAGTGCATACATACGTATGCGGTCACTTCACCTGCTTACATCCTCTTTTAATCAGAACACAAACAGAATATCCTTGTGTGGTTGCGACGGGCACCACAGACGCCTAGTAACCTTCCCGTACTATTTCTTTAACTTCCTGCACATACATACATTAATCATACAAGTACACCGGGTCACTAAAAGTACTCCACCCGGCACCTGGAATAACTGTCATAGTACAGTAACTAACTGCCTCGTTGGCCAGTGCTCATAAACACGACTTCTGAGCGAAGGTTCTGAAATAACACGGACTTTTATCCCCAACAGTTCACCTTATACAGGGGACTCATAAATATCTCTTCAGGGGTAAAAGGCGTGACATTATATTGTATCAATCAAACAGACGACCTAATAAAAGCCACAGAGAGCTTCTGGAAGCAAGTCACTCCCAACAGGTCGAGCTTGAAGTCATTGGATGAGGCCTATTATATATCAGGCAGTACACGTCTCGTGGCTGGTATGATGACGATGATGGTGAATGAGAGTAGGCACAGGACTTTAAGAACATCAACGATGAGGTGTATGCTGGCAGCGGTTCCCACGGCGCACAATGGCTCGCCCTCAGCCACTTGCTTCCATTCAGTAACTGGGTCGTCTTATCACTCGCCTTGAAGTCGACCGCAAGCACTTTCCTGAAGACAGACTATTATTACCACTTACTAATTGTTCACAGACGACTCAGTAATGAGGTCTCTTTGTCAATTATTACCATTTTTGGTGTATTCCCGTGGGAACTAAAAAATGATTATTATTAAAATTCTCAATATTGACATTGAGTTATTCTTAGCATTTATCCTAAAGTTCTAACTAGGTATCTCAGCTATAATAATATTGCAAATAATGTTAATTTGTTTCTTTGACTCTTAAATCTCAACCAATTCTGTTGATCTTTTTCATACATACCTATAGCTAAATCAGGAGTAATTGTGTAATACAGAGTATAGTATTGGACTAAGAAACATAAACCTACATCTGACGAACGGACCATAAAAGGATAATTACTCTTCGAATTGTAGTGACAGACAGTGCTTTATATTAAACTAGCGACCCGCCCCGGCTTCGCACGGGTGCAATATGCATGTATTATACATACAAACCTTCCTTAAGAATCACTCTATCTATTAAAAAAAACCGCATCAAAATCCGTTGCGTAGTTTTAAAGATCTAAGCATACATACGGACATACAGCGAAAGCGACTTTGTTTTATACTATGTATTGAAGTAGTCTTTGTAGGAACTTGAACTTGATTACTCGGCGTACGAAAAATTCTTAGTAGTATGACAGTGCCTCATACTCGGGAAACTGTTCCAATATACAAACAACACAAACCTATCATAAGGTGGATCACACGGGATCAATAACACACCTATCATTAAGTGAATGTAACATTTCATATGTCCTCGTCTACTTACGCCTTCAAAGAATAAAAGCGGGAATATTTCATAGGATTATGTTACATATACAACTAAGTTTTTAAACTGTCATTTAAATACTATGTTATTAAAGTACCACAGTGAAGTACCAAAGAAATAGAAATATATGAGCGTAGTAAATATAACGGCATTTGTGTCTTTAGTTTTTAGCCTACTAATTATCTTTTAACAGATTGCGTTCAGTAATGTACAAACAGTACAATTATAATAATACTCGTCAAGTATGAGCATATTGGCAGATATAATATCTACAGATACCATGTCTACACAGCATGCAAGTGTTCGTAGCATCTCGTAGCACGGCGTAGCATCGCGTAGCATTGCGTAGCTGCTATAAAATGATATTCTGTTTGGTTATAAAATTCCAACAATAGAGAAGGTAAGGAATTGTTGCACATGAATCATCATTTGGGTATATTGCCCAGATCCTCAGTGCGATAAACGATCCTATTGTGTAAAGATAACGAGTCATTAGTGCTCGAGGCGCACAATGGTGGAACAATAGCTAGTGGAGCACTAGCTATTGAGTGAACAGTCAATAGTTTGGCGAGTAATCCGCGTGGGACGAATGGTCAGCCGTTTGACGTCACCCGCACTGACTTGAAGACAATATGTATGTATGTATTATTATACCTAGTTGTACCCTAAGGGTGCTTTTTAAGTAGCAAAGTGACAATACTCTGATTCATTATATTATTACCTAGGATCAGTCAAGTTGCTCTATTTCATCAAATTATCCCTGACTAATAGCTAAGCGTGTTAATTTCCGAAAACTGTTAGGCAGAGGTGTAGGTCTCTCTAGTACCTGGTATTTACCTATGTACGAATTATGTTATTACTGTTAGTAGTATAATAATAATCATGTAGTTATAGTAAGGAAGGAATGAGAACTTCCCACAACTGAGGATGTTGTAAAGATTATAAACCGACTTCAACCTCCTCTTTTATTAAGGTCGGTTTATTAATATACTAAAACCTTCACCTAAGTACGACAAACACTTTTCTGAAAACGGCATCAAAATCGGTTCAGCCAATCGCGAGAAAATCGCAAACATAAGTACATTTGTTCAAAGTGTAGTTCACTGAACTGCACTGGGAAAATATTAGTACACAACTCAATTCTTTTTTTTCTTTTGTTTTTTTATCTTTATTTTTTTTTTGCCATTAGTTATATCTAAAACTACAAGGAATTTAGTTATTACTTGTAAAACGAACATTGTAGTACTGTCACGGTACCTACCACAAATTCTACTCTGGATGATTTTTGTTAGAAATTCATTGGAACTAACGTCAAATAGCAATATTAATCCAAACACAATAGTTGACGCAGGCTGACACAAACAATAGCTTAAGCTCAGTTATTCATTTCAAGTATTTGAGGAATCTCTAGGTCAGAGTAATGCAAGTAGTACTTCATTACTACGATTACAGATTAATGTCAACAACATCAACAGCCTATAACTGACCACTGCTGAGCAAGGATCTCTTCCCACGCGGAGAAGGTTTGAGCATTAATCACCAACGTAGCTCACCGCGGATTGGCGATTTCAAACTTATTATTAGAAATTGTAAGTACAGGTTTCCTCATGATGTTTCCCTTTACCGTTTGTCAGTGGTGACTAAATAATCTTAGGAAGTACTCATATAACTCATAAGTCACATTGGTACTTACCGTTGGTAGGTGTCGAACCTGCGGGCGTCTACCGCTGGCCGGGCCATGACGTCACAAATGGATGGAAATTTTATAAATTGTGTAGGATTGAAATATCATATTTTGAGTAATTTCATTAATATTACTTTTCATATTATGTTTGACTGCCTCGTTAGTCCAGTAGCCGCAAGAGCTATTTCCGAGCACGGGATCGGCTAATCGGGTTCGATTTCCGAGTTAAGTTTAAATATTTTTATTGTTAATGTTATATATTAATGTTTTATGAAACATTTTTAATGTTTTACGGTTTTTCATAAAATTTTCTCGGTAATAGTACCGAGTCTAGAAATTGTTAGGGGTAAACGGTTACGGGCTCACTTCTATTCACAGAACATATAAAACTTCTATTATACGCGACTCCTAACAATGCTAATGAGAAATGGGTGTTACATTGTACAACTATGCGCAATTATATTTATAAGTTATAAATAACGTATTATGTCTTGTAACTGTGAAACAACGTTACGTATTAATATAATAGTTCGACTTCCCAATGTCGTCATCGGAAAGTATCTTACAGACGTACACATACCTTCAAGATGGTCCAAAATGTGATTTTTGCGACATAAACATTAACAGCCGTCACTTTTTGCGTCAACTTTAGAATCAGATGTTATCATAGTTTCCCTCCTTGTGATACATTTGAGTTTTTTAATTTGGGTAACTTCACATCACAATTATGTGCTTCTCCCTACTTACACCTAATTTGAAGTACCTATAGCCACTCTGACGTCCCGCTTTGAGTTTGCAACACGTCTTTAACGCCCATGCAACGCGGTCGCTAACGCGTCGCCGACGTCTCCGACTTAAACGCTATTTTCTACCAATCTACAACTGTTATAGCAAATAAAAAACTACCAGTATAAAGCTGACATTATAAGGAATTGAAAAATTACTCGTAACAATTTGTGAATTATTGTTACCGTGGAGAACCTAAAACTAATGATTGCACTGTATAGCTGTAGAAATACCGCATTGATATACCAATCCAAGCTGTGCCAAGGGATCAAATAATCGATAACTGTGTAGGGGAGCAGTCCAAGTGATTTTATACACCGGTAATTACATAGCATAACAGCACGCCT